TTCTTACTTCCGGTCGCAAACGAAAGTGAATTCAAAAATGTTAAATTTGCAACTTTTTTGTTTTTCAATATTTTTCTTTGGGATTTACAGGGTTAATAGAGAGTCTTTTAGGAGTTTTATGTATGTTTTCATCTTTTTGATTGAAAAAGTTTGCAGAGATTTTTTTATAAAATTCACTTCCGGTCGAGTGATTACCTGTCCTCAAAATTAGAATTTATTCTCACAATATTGCTTGGCAACAGTAAACGACTGAAGTCTAAACCTTTCAGGTCTGATAGTCAGTCATCAGTTTATTTGAATCGTGAGAAAATCTTGTATCGCCGTTACTTCCGGTCGTGACAGGAAGTGATGCAAAAAAGTGAATGGTTAATGGTTAGCTTTCTTGGATTTTCACGCTGAATTTCTTTTATCACTTTTTCAGAGTGAATTTTTGCTTTTATTTTCAGAATCGGACGGAAGACCTCTCATTGCTCGCAATGAGTTTCTAGTTAAGGTCTTCCGTTTCAGACGGAAGACCTTATAGTGATTCTACTGTTTATTATTATTATTATTTTTTTCCCGTTTTTTGTCCAAGCGATTTCTCAGAGATGGCTCTATGGATTTTCTTGAAACTTTCAGGAATTATGAAAAATAAAATAAACTAAAAACATTTTTAAGGATTTTGCAAAATTCACTTCCGGTCGTCAGATATGTCCAATTTCCGTTTTTTCAAAAGAGATCATGTCCGGACGAGATCTCAGAAACGGTAAAAGATTAAGACCTCAAACTTTCAGGGATTATAGATCATAACAAGTATGTTTGCAGAATATGTTTAAATTTGTCAGCCGTCACTTCTGGTCGTCACAAGAAGTGATCAAAGAAATCAAAAATTTCAACTTTTCTTTTTTGGATTTAATCTTGCATGGCATTATTGTATCTGTTTCGCAGTTTTGAAATATGTTGGTCCCACCGGAAACAAAAACGTCAACTTCCGGTTAAAAGCGAAAAACTACATAATTTGAGCATTTTATTTTCCCATAAATATCTCTTATAGATTAAGTGTTTGAAATGGTTTTTTAATATATTTTTTAGACTGCAAATGTCTAGAGTAACGTCAAATATCTTGGTAAAATTCACTTCCGGTCGCGTGTTTTACTGTCCGCAAAATAAGAATTTGTGCAAGTGAGATCTCAAAAACAGTAAGAGATTAAGACACCAAACTTATAGGAGTAATAGAACTTAAGGAGTAGGCAAAACCATTTGGGTTAATAGCGTCAGCCGTCACTTCCGGTCGTCACAGGAAGTGATCAAAGAAATAAAAAATTTCAACTTTTCTCTTTTGAAATAAAACTTGCATCATATAATTGAATCTCTTTCACAGTTTCTATATGTGTTGGTCTCATTGGAAACAAAAAAACGACAACTTCCGGTTATAAGAGAAAACTATGTAATTGGGATTTTTATCTTTCCCAAAAGTATCGCTTATAGATAAAGTTTTTTGAAAAGATTTTTATATATGTTATTGAGATTGCAATTGTCTAGTGTGACGTTAATCATCTTAGGAAAATGCACTTCCGGTCGCGTGTTTTTCTGTCCTCAAATTGAGATTTTGTTTACCAAATTGCTCAGAAACAGTACATTGCTGAAGTCTAAAACTTTCAGAACTGATAGTCAGTCCTCAGTTTATCTACATCATGTAAAAATCGTACGTTGCCGTCACTTCCGGTCGTGACAGGAAGCGATGCAGAAAAGTGAATTGTTACAGTTTTTTTTCTTTTTACAAAAATGTTTGGCTAATGCCCATGTTAGATAAACCATAACCATGCAATTTATTATCACCGGAAGTGCAAACCGAAAAACCGGAAGTTGTCTCAAACATGAGTAGTTTTTCATGGAAACTTTTAGGGAGGATCAGTTGTGAATAATTAAGGTGTAGAATGAACATTTTATTCGTTTGGAGCACTTTCTTTCATGACGAAGTACATAAAGAAAACAGGAAAGTAATTCCGTTTGTTATTATTTGTATTTATATATCTTTGGAAGCCTTGAGATGACTTTTGTTAATTATTTAGAGTAATCTTATTGGCAAGATTGTTTTTTTTTTTTTTTTTTTTTTTTTTTTTTGAAGAAGTCAAGAAAACGGAAGACCTGTTATTGCCTAGGCAATAAGTATCTAGTTATTATTATTATTCTTTTTTCTTCTTATTTCTTCTCCGGTACTTTTTTGTCCGCGAGTGTTCTCGGAAACTGCTCATCCAATTGAGTTAAAACCTTTTTAGGGTTAATAGGCATGTTATGTAGATTTGCGGAACAAAGGTCATTTTGCGCGCACGTGCATGCACGTGCGTGCGCGTGCAATGGGTAAAATGACCAATATACTTGATATAGCTGTAATTTTTATATTTTTTGGTAAAATGCTTTGATACTCAGAATATAAGGATATATTAAAAGTGTGAACAAGATGACATGGTCAACATGCACATGCGTGCGCGTGCGCGCACGCGCAAAGCGTAAAATGACCAATTTACTTGATAATATCGTAACTTTTATACTTTTTGATGAAATGCTTTGATACTCAAAATATTTATATATATAGAAAGAGTAGACAAGATGACATGGTCATCATGCACATGCATGCATATGCATGCACGTGCGCGCGCGTGCAATGTGTTAAATGACTAATATAATTAATATAGCCGTAATTTTTATATTTTTTGATGAAAAGCTTTGATATTAAGAATATATATATATATATATTAAAAGTGTAGACAAGATGATTTGGCCATGATGCACATGCATGCACATGCGCGCGCGTGCAATGTGTTAAATGACCAATATACTTAATATAGCCGCAACTTTTATATTTTTTGATGAAAAGCTTTGATACTATGAATTAACAGACATATTATAAGTGTACACAAAATGGCATGGTCATTATGAACATGCATGCATGTGCGCGTGCGCGCAATGCTAAGATGACCAATATGCTTGATTTAGCCGGAACTTATATATGTTTTGATGAAATGTTTTGATACTGAGAATATAAAGATGCATATATAGTATAGACGGGATGACTTGGTCATCCTGCACATGCATGCACGTGTGCGCGCGTGAAATGCAAAAAATGACCAATATACTTCATTGCCTTATTTAATGAAGCTTACAGGAAAAAAGTCACCAAAAGGGAGTTGGGGAGCGTTTGGGGAACATCTGTAACGGTCCCCGTTACAATTATAACTAGTTTCCTTTATTATAAAAACATTTAAATAAACACAAATGTTAGAAAGGCATGATCTATAATCATACAAACTGAACATGCTAAAACCACATTGTTCTTTCAAATATATTGATAGATCAAAGTATTGTTAAAAGTACCGTATCATTTAAGAAATACTGGTATGGTACCGTAACGTTCATCCCTAACGGTATCCAACCCTACTGTCTAGTGCAAGTCTAATCTTGAAGGGTTCTCCTAAGAATTTTTAGAGCAATGAAGCAGCTTGAATGGCTGATTTTTGGCTGGAAAGTCTGCATTGGAGAAAAAATGCTCATTTAACCAGCTAACTCCAGAAACACATAGAGATATTTTGAAAGACAAATGAAACCATCAACCTCAGATATTTATAATCTTTGTGAAGAATATTCAAGTCCATACCTTGTGTTATGGTATGTACCAGTACAGATTACTTGTTTGTTGACATGGCATCCCGACAACTTAAACCTAATGATGATAACAAGTATTTCAGTATAAAAACATGCCAATTCTTAATCAGTTCCACAGAAAATAAATCTCTGATGAAAAATGTTAGGTAGAGTAAGAGTTCCCCCACCTTATTTGATACATAAATGAAGCTAAGATGGGCTCATTCTGTATCCCCTGCCTCAGCATTTCAAGTTTGAGAAGGAACATTCCCCTACCTGTACCAAAAATACATCTGAGGATTCCAACTACAAAGCATGCTTAACATGCTGCTTCTGTGGCCGAGTTTACAGTTTTAATTTTTTTTGGGAGGTTCATTCCAAAGAAACTGATAGTCCAACAAGGTGCATTGTACTGCAATCTTGCTTCATACAGATACAGGAAATCACACTTACAGTGAACATGCTTATAATGAATTGATGCTTACAGCGATGTGATTTTCATTCTCAGTGGCATTAAAATATATAAACTTAACAGATATTACAAATTACGTTTATAAACAAAGCAAAATTGCTCTTTCCCAGAACTTGGTTATAAGCATGTTTTACTGTACTATATTTTTGGATATTTAAGGTAAACACTGATCATCATAAAAATTACTACTTTTGCTTCTTACTGTACCTACATGTATATTTGATATGAAACTCAACTGCACAAAGTGCATTTATATTTTTTTTTTAGCTTTGCCTTGTAACCTTTATCTAATATTTTTAATAAGAAAACTTCCATAATATAAGTACAGCCACCTTCCACTACTCACAGAAACTTGTGTGAATAAACAAGAACCAATGAAGTTTATGTTTTAGGTGTTTACAAATACTGAATGACCAGGTGATGACAATTTACCGATTCTTGATTAAGTGTATTGAAAACCTATTGGAGTATAAAAGAAGGCCAGCCTGCTACAAAATCAATTTTTCTACTTTTTTAGGCTTTTCAATTTTTTTAAATTATTTAATATCATAATTTTGCTCACAATTGTTCAAATCCAGGGGTATAATTTTAAGACTTTAAACTCTTTTTGCATGACAGAAAACATTGTTCAGAAACCATGCCTAAGAAAATCATTACCAATCTTCTTTTTTCCCTGAGATTAGAAGCTTAATGCTTACTTTTCCAGTGCGATTGACTTATGAAGGGACAAGCCCTAATGATATCCCCTCATTTCACTTTGCCATGCAAGTACAGGACAATAAAAAGAAGCCACAAATAATGCTTGCTTATTAAGATTTTCTTTCAGGAAAATAAATTATTCATCATTTTTAAACATGAATGACTATTGCAATCTTGATTATAATGAAAATTACATGTACATAATACATACATACATATTAAGTAAAACCTGGAAAATTAACAAAGATGATATGGTATCACAAAATTATAGGAAAGTGAAATCAACTCACCATTGACATGATCAAAATGAATTTGCTTTGAAATAAATGAGGATCAAAGGTAAATTTTAAAAGTCCATTTCTAGAAATTCCTAAATATTGTCATTACAAAAATTTAAAATCTAATTTTTGAACTATTATCCTTGTCCATGAAGTCGTAATTTATCTTGTGCTTTCCCTGAGAAGGCTGCCTGGATGGCAGCAAACACAACACTAGGAGGTTGCTTGGCATCCACGGCAGTGTGTATTCCTTTCTTGCTGTAGTAATCGACGAGAGGGCTAGTTTGTTTGTGGTAGGACTCAAGGCGCTTTTTCAATGCATTTTCATTGTCATCTGATCTCCTGATAAGAGCTTCTCCTGTGAGCTGTTAAAGTATTTAATTTGTTTACAGTTTCTATATTGCATACATGTTTTATATAAGGATATATCAAATATAAGAAAAAAAGTCAGTACTTCCACACAAAAAAAATATTTTCCAGAGCATAAAGCAATTTAAGAATTTTTTTCATAAAATTCAGAGCAACATAATGCTGCAAAAATACTTTTAACAAAACTTGATTAATTTGGAAAATGTATTGTCAAAAAGTTAAAAAAAAACCCAAAAAACTAACATCATCCTTCATTGGTACTTTGGGTGGATTAAATTCAACATGATATGACCTTCCACTGGGTGGATGAATTAGACGTCCAGTGATGCGCCGCACCAGTAAAGAATCGTCAATTTTAAATTCTACACAAGCAGTCAGCTTTGATTTTCTCTGCTCCAGCAGATTATCGAGCTAAAATGATATCAAATTTATTGCACTTTGCTACAAATTAACAAAAATACATCTTTCTTGATTAATATTATGAGAGAAGCATAAACAAAAAAAATGATAAATCGATGAATACAGTAAAATGAGCTCATACCAAATGCAAAGGATGAACAATTTTCATTCTTTTTAAATGTAATCACTATATTCTGAAAGTTTATTAAATTTTTAAACTTCGGGGGAATAAAAATCACTTTGCTGTAAGTGTGCACTCATTAAGAGTGTGCTCACACTAACCACGTTTTATTTCATATACATTATACAAACACTCTGGCTCCAAGTTATTTCAGATATCTTTGTTATACACAATGACAGCTAGCTTTTACCATAGTAATACCTGAATTGTAGCTTATACTTACTGCCTCTGCCTGCTTAATTGTTCGAGGAAATCCATCCAGCAAAAAGCCTTTGGCACACTCTGGTTTATCTAGGTTCTTGTCAATCATTTCAATCACAAGATCATCACTCACTAACTGACCCTTGTCCATCACCCCCTTGACCCTCTTCCCAAGGTCTGATCCAGAAGAAATGGCTGCACGAAGCATATCCCCTAAGTAGTGTATAAAAAAAAGGCAATTTAGTTTAGTATTGAAGCTATTCAATTGGAGTTCTGTTTCAGATTAAACTTTAGGGGTAATATTGGTTGTACATATGTAGCTCTCTGATCTGAAAAAATCTGGATGATCATGCATTCCATATTTTTCAGAGTAAGACAATGTGAGTCTAGGTTGGCATGATTGATACTCCTGATCAAGCAAAACTCAAGATATCTGAACATTTAAGGGCCTCAAGTTTATAAAAATTCACTCAAAAGTTTTATACTCAAATTTGAAACATAACTTGATCAACTCATTTGTCCAAAATATCTGAATTTAGTTCAAATTCTATACAACAAGAATTCTATAATTTTGAAAAATTGAACCATAAAATTAATTGAAAATGGTCGAATCTTAATTTATGATCATCAACATCCTATATTTGTTTATAAATTACAAATTTCAGCACAGAATCTGTTGGAATAGCGAAATTAGAGTCAGTTCAATGTTTCTTATATTATTCTTTGGAAAAAATCAAAGAGAAAATTATATTTGTAGATTTCACTATATTTACCATGCATATGTATTCAGCCAAATTCAACAACAAATATTATGCTCATGAAAATATTATGCTCATGAAATTAATTACATGTATTACCATGTTTTCAAAGAATATTGGTAGTTGAAATAGTATAGTGAGTGTTTAAACCATTCGGGAAAAAAGGGATCTAGATGCTGTATGTGGCCATTAGGAATAATTAATGCATCTGCCACAGAAATCAAGTTTTAGGGTGCAATTATTGAATCAAAAGAACATGTGTAAGGTGTACAAAAACATGCCAATTCTGTGACTTGCATGACGCTGATGTAAATTTTTCAATGAAAAAATGAACCTGTTTGAATGCATGTAGTTCATTAAAACTGTGCTACTTTCAATGCAATATAATGATACTCACCTGTTGAAAGGTGGCATACTTTGTATTCATCTACCAGCTTTGGTGCCTATGAAAATAATGCATAATCAGTATTACAGTTAAACTTCGTTATCTCGAAGTTGACGGGACCGTTGATGAACTTCGAGATATCCGTGGGTTCGACATATCGAGGGTTATAATTCTAATGAACTTCAAATAAACTTAGTGCAGTGAACATGCACTTAATAGTAGAAACATGTCAAATTCCTTCTTGTTTGAAATTCTGTATACGTTTTCTTTAATATACATGTACATGTATTTAGCATTAAAAAGATTTTAACATCCTCTTTATAATTCACAGAACATTACTTTGTATAATATGCACAGTTGTATAATCCTTTTAACAACCCGGCAAATCAACCACTAGCATCGTTTCCCATGTATACATAACCGGATATCGTCTATGCATTGTAAATTTAAAACCGGTTGCAGTCAGAATAACGCAAACGAAATATTCAATTTTTTTTTATTGTAAAAACATGTTCATACATGTATAATCAGTTAAAAGAAAAGATTTTACCACAATGAAAATAAATGCAAAAGAAGAAACTTTTGTTTAACACTGAATCACAGGGCACTATAGCATGTTTTCACTGCGACACACGCTCACATGATGGTGTGTACTGATGATTGTAAATTCTGTATGCACATACAGGAAAAATAAATTCTAATTGCATTAAATTATAGAATTTTGTTTCACTTTGATGTTTATAATTTTCGCTTTCATATGCATAAACTATGCAAGCGCGCATATTACATATAGCATAAATAGCGATTATCAAGATAAATGTACCCCAGCTACAAAACAACGTGTCATCCACGCATATACATAAGACTAATACACACAACCTTTGGCTTGCATAATTAAAATCAAGGTAAGCCATACATACACCTCCTATTATTATCGCGCTATTATCTGTTGATCACAGGAACACAGGTAACCCGTGCGTGACAGACAGGTGGCTGTTCAGTTTACCCAACGGATTGATCATCAGAGCGGAAAATTATCCTGACTTCGAGATAACGCAAGTGATTTTAATGAATGGGTACACAATTTTACTTCGAGATAACTGGTGTATTTGACATTACCGTGTTCGACATAGAGGGGTTTATTTTGATCATTTATAAAGCAAATTTCGTCGGGACCGCGGCCTTACTTCGACATATCCGGGGTATTCGAGATATCCGTGTTCGAGATTTCGAAATTTACCTGTAATTACAGATCTTTAACCACTGCTTTAAACACTAAAGATACAGTGCATGAGCACAGAGGTCACAAAATTATACACCCTGCTCCTATATGATATAATAAAAAATATCCCAAACAGGCTATTATATCCCATATTTGGGCATGGTCCAAACTAGAAAGAACTTTCCATCACTAAAATTATATTGTCCTACAGACCAGGTTTAACAATAGAATTTGTTTTATGTGTGTAGCAAAATAAACATGGGCAAATAATCCTTTTATTAATTAAAGTACATGTTTACTATGATCCAGAGATACCTGAATTTCAACATGGCATTAAATTCAAAGCGTCAAGAAAAAAAAGTTAAGAAAAATGAGTTAATTTTTTTTCTTTATATGGATTATTTTTAGGATAGAAGGTATACACTGCACATAAGCACAGGTACTTGGGTCTTGGTTAATAAATATGTATGTACCTTATTGATAGTGATGGGACATCGGTTAGTTTTCATAATCGATCATCGGTTGGAATTGGTTACTGCTTCTGATGCAATTTTACCGATTATAATTGGATGCCATAGTTTTGTATATAAAAAGCAGACTATTACAAGTATTTCATATTATTTCTTTAACATGAATATATAAAATATATAATATATTGTTTTTCTTTGTTGTTTTGCTTCTTTTACACTCTCTATATATGACCTTTTGGTTCTTAATCACCTCTGCTTTGTGCTAGTTGGCTTTATTACAAATAAGACGCCATTTTTCTTTCATTACGAAGAAATAAATTTTAAACCGGGAACAGATCATTCCGGATTGTATTCCAGATTGTAAGTATGTTTCTGATGATCGATTATGAAAAATAATAATCGATCATCGGAATCGGTAGCATTTTTTTGTCGACAATCGATATTCTCTGATTATATCGGTACAACACTACTTATTGATACTTTTTTTTTTTTTTTTTACACATCAATAAGGTACATACATATTTATAAACCAATACCCAAGTACCTGTGCACATAAGCTCAAAAAGGATTTGGTAGTTTTTTCAGTGTATTTCCTTTCGTATTCTTCAATATCACTTTGAAGCGGATCCGTTCTGATTTCCTACACTGCAAATTATATGAGATGTATTCTAACTGTGGTGAGGGCTTAGACACAGTTACTTATTCAACTAATCCGAGATTCCTCTGTCTCTAACCCCTGCTATTATAATGTGACATGTGTATATGTCACAATATAAAAGCAGGGGTTGGAGTTAGAGGAGGTCCCAACCTGATAAAGTTTTGTGAAACTTTGCTCTTTCAGTGTTTCATGATTTGATATCCAAATATTTGTTTTATTACAGTACCAAAATATGATTTTTTGGACAATATGAAATATTGTGATGCTGATGTAATCAGCAATGATGCTAACGTTAGATGGCAATTTTCGAGGAAATTCGAATCATACCGCATGTACAAAAATATGATTTCTATACGTCTTGTCATTTGTAATCAAGTAATCAGAATTGCAGATCATTCTTATTACGAAGGCATGTTTTACCTGGGTGCCTTTTCCAGAGCCAGGTGGCCCTAATAATACGGCGTTTACTTTTCCTGACACGGGAGGCATCTGTCCACTTTCAAACGGAAGTACATAAGGTCGAGCAGGCGCAAGCATTACACGTGCAACATATTGGCGGATCAAAGATCGCTATGGGGGGGATTTTTTTTCAGTTCACCCGAAAAGGTTCAAAGTGAGTTTTTCTGATTGAAGAGTGTCCGGCGTCCGTCTGCCCTCTCAGGGGCGGATCCAGATAAGTCATTTTTTCCCTTCTGATGACGCTCCTTAATTAGCGTTTTTAAAATGTCCCTAAGGGGGAGGGGGTCCTAGGTCATTTTTCATTACTTTTACATAGAAATCAGTGGCGGATTCAGGGGGGTTTGGGGGGGTTCGGGAAAAACCCCCCGCCCGATCAAAAAAAATTTTTTTTTACAAGACATTTTGTGTCATTTTAACAATATATTGCATAAATGTGACTCTATCCAAGCCCATTGTTTTACACAAAGAGGTGAAATATACAGCCACCATATGAAATCCCTTTCCGCTTGAGCGCACACAATATACAGGTAATCAACAGTACTGTACAGAGATCATGATAGTCCGCATGGCCATAGGAATTGGGGGGGGGGGCGTGCCCCCCCCCAATAATTTTGCCGATATATATATTACTATAGAAAACATAGATATTATATGTCTGTGCCCCCTCAATAAAGACGTCTGATGACCTTTTTTTTTTTTTTTTTTTTTTGCTTGTCAAGAAATTTTTGGTAGTAGATAGTGCCCCCTCAACTGAAAATGTATGGTTGTGCCCCCCCCCCCCCCCCGAATTGAAATTGCTTCCTACGGGCCTGGTTGACACAAGGTCATACACTAACAACCAAAACTGCACATAGTTATATTACGGTTTTGTTTTGGTATTGCTAAAGTAATATAGTTTCTAGAATTTTCTTCTTTCTGCGATAATTGAATGTAACTTTATTGAACTACGTGAATAAACTGTGATTATTATTTAACAGAGAAAAAAAAATTAATTAATACATCAGGGACGTATACTAGTTGTTTTATACGTTGTGATCTGTACCAAAAAGCACATTGAAAGTATTCCTTTTGTAGATGGAAGTTACAATGCAATTTTAAAAGCAAAAGATCTGCATTTTTTTTTTTTAAATTACAGTTGAATGATGTTGAATAAAACCCAACTAACTGTTACAACTTTGTATAATGAATTGTGGTAAAACTGATACGTATAAATTAGATTTCCTGTCAAAACAAGAATTGGCCACTTTTTTATTGATTGTTTTTCAAGACTTTTTTTTCAAACATTGGGCAGGTAAGTGGGTAAAAAAAAAGAATGAAAGAGTGCATTTATGTTAGAAATTATAATTACCCCCCCCCCCATGAATAAGCAATAATTCCAATTATTTCCCAAAATAATTTATATTTATTCTTCAATATGAAATATCATTATTTGTTTATATTGCAAATTATATGAACGTATAGTCAAGTAGTTGAAAAGAGTAATTAGGGTTTCTACACAGAATTCGAATTTTCTAAGTGTTAGAAAATTGCACATCATGCAGTTGTATTTTAGTAGACAAAGCTTCACATGCGACAGTGTGTTGGACGTGCATTTTAAAATGAAGAATTGGATATTATATAGCAAATGGGGATATTTCTAATTTTATCAGATTTTACATTTTATTTTTTCTTTAGAAAATTCTCATTTTTCAAGTTAACATGGAAGTTAAAAATAATCCCAAAATTTTAATTTTTTGTTCAATTTCTTGAAAATTTGGTAGGTCGGTCTTGAAAAACAACTAGAAAAAAAGTGGCCAAGAACTAACTAATTCAATCTAAAATGCTGGAAAATGCACCATTTCGAGCCATTTTTAAAGAAAATTTCTCGGGGGAGGCCCCCCGAACCCCCACCTATGGGAGGGAGACACCCCCTCCCATGCCCTCCCCCCTCGGCCCTAAACCCCCCCCCCACATGGACTTCTGGATCCGCCACTGTTTTTTCTCAATAACTCTTATAATTCATTATCAAGGAGGGGGAGGGTATGGACCCCCTGACACCTCCTCCAGATCTGCCCATGCGCGTGTTTTGTTTTAATATCTGTAAACTTTCCAATTTCAATTTCTCGGACTCCAGAACCACTGGGTCTATTTCAACCAAACTTGCCACAAAGCATCCATGGGTGGGGATTCAAGTTTGTTCAAATAAAGGGTCACGTCCTCTTTCAAGGGGAGATAATTAACAATTAGTGAAATATTTTATGGCAACATTCAAAAAACTTCCGGCCAAGAACCACAGAAAAGATGAAACATACATACCTATATGAAAGCTTTGAGCATTACGTATACTTAGCTGCAATAATGTAGCCTTCTCCGATTTTTTTTGGGGGGAGGGGGGAGATGACTCCTCTCCAGAAAACATCAAATAAAAAAATCGGAGAGGGCTACATTATTGCAGCCGCAGTATATCCGCGATACGTACATGTACATATACTAAGTGTAGATCTAAGTTTGTATAAATTATAACCCCCAGGGTAGGGTGGGCTACAATGGGAAATCAAAGTGTTACATTGAAATATATCATAGGAAAAATCCTCTCAAAACAACAAATTCTAGCTGCTTTAATGTAACCCTCACCGATTTTTTTATAATCTGATGTTTTCAGGTGAAAAAAAAAATGGAGAGGTCTACAGCTAGTAAAACCATAACTTGGTCTTATTTACATATTGGCATACTCTCTGTTTTCTCTTTTTGTGAACCTGGTAATGCAACGATTTGTGCTACGATTGCATTTCATTTCTGACAACTCGCACAGCTCCAGCTTGTGCAACACTAAATTTCGTTTAAAAAATTATGTAAAATTACATAAATATGAAAGCTTGTGCAAAAGGATAAATTAGAGTTTATAAAGTTATAGTTATATATGGCGTATATATATATATATATATATATATATATATATATATATATATATATATATATATATATATATATATATATATATATATATATATAAGTTTAGACTAACTAAAATTAAAAAGATCTTTCTATTTGTTTTATTACTTTATATAAAGATAGGACTTTCCTGTAAATTACACAATTTAAGTCAATAATGTTTCAAAGATATTAGAATTTTAAAACAATAACCGATTTATTTACCGACTCCGCATTTAATTAACAGACACAGTTTAAAATCAATTTATCTATGGAAACATGAGGTTATTCAAGATCAAAATCGGTGGAATTTTTAATTTGAATGTAAATAACATATATCATGTTTATCTACACTCAATCTCGTATTTTTATTTTTTAGCTCAGATACGCCATATATAACTTTAATGAAATCCTGTGGGGGAAAAATCAAAATGATTAAAATTGTTGATCGAGATGTATTTAAATTTCTAAAATTATTATTGATTAGTGTATGTAATTGTTTAATAAAACTTTCTCCAAATTAAAGAGTTGCTAATATTATCTGTAAATTTTTACGCATATAGTTACAAAGAACGATAACTCTTCACGAATGGGTGTTTTAAGTTCAGACAAAGCGAAATTTCATTTCGTATCTATTTCAAAATCGATTTCACCTCTTAACATGATTTATAAAAGCATTCTTACGTCAAAATCAATATAAAAGAATAGATGCAAATAGAATTAATAAACAACGTTGTTTCAGTGAACATAACTTAAAAGCTCAGCAGACACAATTATTTACCATGACGCCCTAACGTACTAATCACTTGTTCATAACACCGTGTTCACCGAAAAACGTTGTTCATTTCTTAAATAGTCGCCTTAATTAATAATTATTAATGATGAGTATGCTACAGATATAGTGAAGTTCTTTGATATACAATCTTACCACTATTTAGAAATTAGGATTTTTCAGCTGATATATTTTTTGCCCACTTTTGAAGGGGAGGGGGCGAGCAGGATATGACTGCCCTGATATAGATCTACAAATGGTAATTATCAAGAAAGGTCACCTTGGCCCTGCTGGTCTTCAGAATTAAATGTTAAAATGATTTTTCATTCTTTACTCTCGTGAAAACGTTGACCAATATATTGTGGCCTCACTTTAACCAAAGGAAGCATGACTTATTTTAATCCAGACAGCAAGGGGATGCTTCTGTAGTTTTAGGATCTGGGTTTTGCATTAGAATATGCAGGGAATTTAAATCTTTTCAAGAATAGCCGGGTCACGTACATTAAATTATAGTCATATGCATGCAAACATTCCTTAGTCGAGTGGTTTCATTATTTTTTTTTTTTAAATTATGGACCCTGGGGTTAGCGTAGGACTGAAATCGGGGATCAAAATTTACAAATGCATGTACTAGAATACAGAGGGAAAATCTTTAACGTCTTCTCCTGAAAAGCAAGGCTATTCTAAACATAATTTGAACAAACGTGAATCTGCACTACCTGAGGGTACTTACACTTTGAAATGACTAATAGTTGCCTTGCTTAATTTGCCTAAAATAGAGGAAGACTATCTACCGCATTACTAGAAAAGCTAGCTCACCAGCGATGTAGTATAAGTTCCCTATATGATGTCCACTACACTAGTCCATACTGAGAAATATTGTTCAATAGGCACCATACAGCCCTTTGAACCAATCAGGCTAACATACATGTAAATGTTTGCCCTCTGAAAGCTATGTCGACAGACTGATGGTTTGAGAAGTGGTAGCGGATTCGAAAATCTAATTTTAATTAGATTGGGTCCATACTGGCAGAAGACTGTTCAAAGGCATATTGTCCCTTGGTGTCCCAGGTAGTCTGGCCAACAAATTATGTTTTCCTCCTTAAGCTGTCTTGACAGCCTGGAGACAAAGAGTGACAGTCTGGTTTATTTCCAGATTGTTCAATAGGCATCGTCCCTTAGCATTCTGATTAAAATCAGATTTTGATACACTCCGAAATTCTGATAGTCACTGTACAAAGTTGTACAGAAAAACACTTGATTAAAAAATTATGCCATTATCATTGAAATTAAAAAAAATGTATATAAATTCATCGAAAGAAAGAAAGACATGCTGGAAATACAGCTTTATTTTTATCAATTAAAAACAAAAACATTTCAAGTATTTTGCGAGTAAATATATTTGGTAGACCTTTAACATTGCATGTCGTCTAACATCGTGTAGTTTTTTCATTATCCTCGATATCCGATGCATATGTTCCTATCACAACCCGGGCAGATTCTTCCCTCTGGGGTCCTGATCGTTGTCGGTCGATAACAAAAAGGCGGGTAATACGGAGTCCTTCTTTCAGGTACACAGTATAGCTGGGGGCATACTATGGTGGAGTCTCCGCCTAAACACAAAAAGTAAAAAAGTGGATTTTTTCAATAAAATTTGTCACTCTCTTAAAATTGAACATATTTTCAAAAGAACCCAAGGTTTTTGAACACACACACACACAAAATAATAATAATAATAAAAACTAGAGCAAAGCTCGTTGCAAAGCAACGAGTAGGTCTTCCGACGGACAACGGACGTCGAAAGTAATACATTAAGAGTTTTTATCCTAATAATGATAAAAAGGCAAATTTCTATAAAATGGACCAAAAAATCATTTATTTTTTAAAACTTCGGCTTTCAATTCGGACTTTTCCGGCCGTTAGGACGTCACTTCCGGTTGACGTCGAAAGTCTCAAAGCCATAAAAAAAACTTTAAACTCAATTACAAACCATTTTATAGCATTTCTAATGATTTTAAAGGAAAAGCTTATTTTTCGACTACTTCCGGTAACTTAAGTACTTTCAATGATGGTTTTTGTTGTTGATTATACATTTGAACTTAAGTTTTATATGCCTTTATTCCAAACTTCATTTTTTTTTAAATCCGTGAATTAAGTATCCCCTCCGTTGTCGACCGGAAGTGACGGATGCAAAAACAAAAGGCGTAATACACAAATCAAAGAGATTTTCTATCACCTCTGAAAAAATCATGATTCTATCTTGAGCCGTTTTTAAGGAAAAGCGTGGACAAAATGACAATTTGAAAAATGAAAATCGGACAAAAAATGCGACCGGAAGTGTACTTCCAGTGTACTTTTTGCAGCAAAAGTTTAAGCACAGTACGTATAAACCCAAGCACCTGGGGGAAAGGATATCCCTCCCCCTTCAGGGATATTAGATTTTTACGACATATTTCCGATGTTCTCCCGAGGGAAAATCTGCAGAAAAGCTCTAAAATGATCTTTTATTAAATTATACACCGATGAACATACAGGTATAAACATGGTGTATGGTGTAGAATGATAGTTTTGGGGACTTTTCCACCATACTTTTTTTATGCAATACATGTACAGATGTCTTACAAAATATTTATCATAAAAGGTTCACCATTTCTGGGGTGTACATCGGAGGGTTGGGTGGGGGTGTTAGTTATCTCGTTATAACGAGTTAGTTATCTCGTTATAACGAGTTAGTATCTCGTTATAACGACTTAGTATCTCGTTATAACGAGTTAGTTATCTCGTTATAACGAGATAATTATCTCGTTATAACGAGTTAGTTATCTCGTTATAACGAGTTAGTTATCTCGTTATAACGAGTTAGTTTCTCGTTATAACGAGTTAGTTATCTCGTTATAACAAGTTAGTTATCTCTTTATAACGAGATAATTATCTCGTTATAACGAGATAATTATCTCGTTATAACGAGATAAAAATTGATCTAAAGAGTTGATATATCTAAGTAAAGAATATACATGTACTATTATTTATAGGAAATAAACGAAGCCAGTCGATCAAATTTGTTTGAAGTGTGCCTGATAAAGATTTTATGGAACAACAGTATACTAGTTTAATGTGTTATGCTTTTGATTAGTATTGTTCATTGAAAAGACCGAAGACAAATATACGGAAACTTATGACCGCCTCATGTTGTTGTGTTATACCTTAAAATTGCAAAATAGAATTAGTGTCATCTTCAAATGGAATGGATATAACGTCAAAATGTTGTCAACTTGTACAAGGAGATCAGAAAAAAAAAAGATATATTCTGGCTGATTTAACTGGCCTGTTCAAGCTTTCTTGACTATGTTAAAATTATGATAATTTTTGCGTAATATTTGTCGCAATAAAAAATGCATAGAAATAATCCCATTATTTTATATATTCCGAATTACTAATGTCGATATGATACCATTTGTTAGGCTTTAACGTCCATATTTTGAAAATTCCTTGCCTGTTAACAATTAAGAAATACCAGTTCATTTTTATCGTCTTAAAGGGACAGGGCAAGATCAAAATTCAATGTCTGACAAAAAAATAAATTCACGTTGTTTTTATCATCAATCCCTCCTTCCCCGCAATAATAAATATGATGAATTTCAAGAACTAATACTGTACTTATCACTTAATAATTTATATATTTCTTTTGTTTATTAAAAGAAAGAAACATTTTAATTTACCAATTTGGCATGAAATCTCATGTACAATATGTATTTTAAGCGTTATTATCAATGTGATAGAATAAAAAACTTTTGGGGCTCTTTATTCTACGGAAGCCACAATAAAAAGATGAAGGTCACCAGGCTGAAATGTAGTGCATGTAGGAAATTCACATGCCTCACTTTGACAATAGTAAAAACAGTTGACATGTTTGTGATAGAATGAAAGTTTAATATCTAAAGTTTACAATATGATACGCATTAATTAAGGTGTATTTCAAGCATAAATTATGCCTAGAAATATGTATTGTATCGTGAGACAGGATTTTTGATATTTTCACTCGTGAAAATATAAAAAAATCCTGTCCCACTCTTGAAATAAATTCCATATCAACTACAAAACATTGAATATCCTCTATTTATAACCCCACCCCCACCCCCCAAAAAAATCATCAATCTCTTTTTGAAATAAAAATTATATGCTTGCATGCAAAGTATACATAATAAATATTGTGATATTGTGATGAGGAAAATAATTAACGACATTGCTTCAATGTTTTATTAATAATATTTCCATTTCTATTTGTTTTCTCTGTGATAACTCTTTGAAAGTTAGGAGAGTTGATTTCTTGATCATTCTAACGGAATGCAAATTTTGCCAAGCGAAAGGTCAGTAGCTAAGAAGGCCTAATATGCATGTAATTCTCGTGCGGCTATCTTTGTGTCAGACTCTTAAGGAGGCCTAATATGCATGTAATTCTCGTGTCGCTGTCTTTGTGTTTGACGTCAGTGGGCGGGACTATTGAAATTGACATGTGAGGCCTCGTGTAAATTAAATCTATTAGTCTACATTTTTAAAATCAAAATTTACAATTTTATTTCAAAATGAAATGGAAATATAAGGAATCACTGTCTAGTTAGTAGAGTATGCCAGGGACATCAACGATAGTTGGAAACGTGGGATAATTTATGCATAACGGGCTTGTCATGTATAGTATTAGTCCTATTCGTTGATCAATCCTAATTAAAAAGGTTATAAAAGTGAACTGGCTTTGTAAACTCTGTAAACTTTTTTTTTGTGTTGTAAACTCTGGTTTGATGTTTTGTCACCATGTGGTAAACATAGGATCCGCCAAATAGACGTGAATCTCAAATAGGTCTACGTGAATCTGCACAGCTTGGACCCCCCCCCCCCTCCCCCCCGCAAAAAATATAAACAGTGAATCATGACAGAATATTAGATAAAATGTCAATATCAGCAGATAAAATCTAACGTCTTATTACTTAGAAGGACGTAATATCATTTTTGTTTCATCATTCCTCATCATCGTGGACAATCTGCATAAGCTTAGTCACAAAGTTCGTGGGGGGGGGGGGTTAAACCAAGTAAAATATTTGACAAGCAAATAGAAAAAAAAAGAGATTTGATATTCCAACTACGAGTATTCGTCATTATTTTCGGGAGATATTTACTCAGGTAAAAAAAAATCTGGAGGAAGGAGCACAAAAATACCCTTGACCGCCCCCTCTTCAAAAGTGGTGGTGGGGACATTAGACCCCTATTACTACGCCTATGATCTAACTGCTGATGTCTCACCACCCCCTTCTTCAAAACATTTCTGAATCTCAAAAACAACATATGTATCGCACTGTAATCGTATATATATGTTGCATAAACGCCTGCGATATGTTGTACTTATATTGTCTCTGATATTTAATTTTAGCGGAATAGAAATTGATATATGAAAGTGTATTTATTTAGTCGTCCAAAACATGTCGAAATAGTGTCATTTATTAGAAATAGTTGTCATAAATAAATTGCCAAAGTTTGAAGCAAGTATATTTGGCAATATTATTTTAAGAAAAATATCGCGTCCTAATGCAACAATTTGAGGAGGCGTTCAGAATTAATGTGTAAAATGTGTTCGCCTTAGAGTTGCTATACTTATCAAAATATGATTATTGACAGCGAGATAGTTCAAGATTTAATCATAAGTAAACCCCAGAGCAAATTAAATTTTCTACCATTTATAAATTGTTCAAGTTAAGTTTGACTGATAATTACTAGCTAAAAATTCAATGGCATTAAAAACTACAGCCATTTTTATTCAGAAAACTATCTCGTTATAACGAGAAAACTATCTCGTTATAACGAGAAAACTATCTCGTTATAACGAGATAACTAACTCGTTATAACGAGATAATTATCTCGTTATAACGAGATAAGTAATTCGTTATAACGAGATACTAACTCGTTATAACGAGATAACTAACTCGTTATAACGAGAAAACTAACTCGTTATAACGAGATCCTAACTCGTTATAACGAGGTAACTATCTCGTTATAACGAGTTAATTTTTTTTTATTCTTGTCAAAATTGAGCCTATCCGGCTTTCGTAGGAATGGAACTCAAACCATAAAAATCTTACATATCAGATTCTTAGAGGTTGGCACGTTTAATACTATGCCACACAACTCACGGCGGGTATATATCGGCATTCAAATTTTGTTTGTGATATAGCCTTTGAATGACGATTTCAAATAATTATCTTATAGATACGAGAGTTGTGTAATAAAAGTATATTTTTAATGTAGAGAAGGTTCATGTTCCATGTTTATGTTCAGCAAAAAATGTAGATTTTTATGCATACTTTGAAGATATACTTTTAAAAAAAATGGAGCAAAGACCCACTGATATGATAAAACTGTGTTATAGTATGAAGAAATGATAATTTTTGCCCTCTTTGGTGTGTGCATGCTATTTCATAAAGGAATGATTTTAATACATGTTAGATTGTTGCAAATTGTGGCGAATTCACATAAAATATACATAAATGTTAACTTCAAAATATGAAAGAAAATATTATAATTGAGATTTAATTTACACTTTCTTATTTGTGAAATCTAGGCATTTTTTCTCCCTTACTCGCCCATCTTCATTAAACTTTTAATGTAAAACATCGATCAAGGGAATCGTACAAGCTTTCGCTTTCTCTTTCTGATGCCGTTAACAATATAAGACAATATATACACCTTTATAATAATATATATGCAAAATAAATTGAAGAGAACTCTGTTTAACTGTTCTGTTCTTTTTACGGGAAATCAAATGGGTTTTTAATTTTACAAACTTACGTGGACAGCATACAGCGAATTCTCTGTTTCTGATACATATGTGGTCCCGGGGACAGCGCTGTCTGGTACATGTCACTGCGTCGTTGTTTATCTGCAGAGGTCTTCCGAATATACAGGGGTTGTTTTCTGTTCAGCACAAATTAAAAAAAACAACAAAACACTCATATTCTCATTCCAAAGCATTTACAATTGAAATCATTTCAATTTTTGCATTCCATTGGTTAAATGACCATAAGTCAAAATATTCGAACATGAAATTTAACATTCACATGTATAAACTTATACATGTACATGTATACTACTGTTACTTACAAAAAACTTTCCTCTTCGTATGAACTCAAAAACCTCTTTATATGGACATGAGTTCTCGGTAATATAACACAAACAAACAAAAAATATTTTAAAATATTTGTCCACAGTCTAAACATTTAATGAACAAGTTTTTCTTTAAAACATTACAGAAATTTAGAAGTTCAATATTCAACATTTACTTTGGGAGAATTTTTTGTTTCAATATTAAAATCAAAGAAAAAATCCTTGGAAAACTCTAAATGTGCTATTGGAGAATATTGCAAAATTGACGATATTTGTGTTCATGGATTATACTATCATACAATTTACTTTGAAAAAATTATTTAAAAAAAAGAAAAAAAGAAAAAGTACATGAACTTACGTAAACAACAAGGACCTGGTCCGTCAGCAGGAGTAAAGCAAAAGAAACCGGAAGGACAGTCATTTCTGGGAGGGATTGTGAAGCCTACACATCTCTGACGAAGGTGTCGACCAAATTCACACCTGTCCAGACCATTACCTGGATCTGGAACTGAAGCAAGATGATTCATAGACGTTTTAAAGAGTTAATTTTTCTAATTATCATTGAATCTAAAAAAAAAAATCAATAATTGTTTATACATAGATAATTATGGACTGCATGAACATATTGCTTTAATATTTTGTCATTTGTGAAATAAACACATAGAAACTGAACTCTTTAATAAAAAAGGGAAAAAAACGTATTAGGAACTGTCATCAAAATATATTAAGAAAGAAGTAATTCTTACTCTGTGCACGGCAGACAGTGAGACAAAAAGCCATTAAAAGCAATTGTAGAATATATGTCATGGTTTACACTGTTAATGATTAAGTCATTCGGTCAAGTTAAATATATAAGTGGGGGAACAGATGGAGAAAATACAAATAGAGCAATCAAAAGAAGAAAGGAATCACCTGGCCTTGTTTTTTATTTTTCAAAATTGTTCCTTGTCGTCAGTGCGTAGAATGACATTTGCTTTGCCAATCACTATCAAATGAATAAACACAATGACAAAAATAGGAAATTACATAAACAAGTAAAACACAAGGAAAGCTTATGTTATACATGTAGATATAATTATATGTGTAGGAAATCAAGTCACGAAGAATACAAAAATGTCGTCGATAAGAAACATGTTGGAAATGTTAATGCAGTAAATTGACCTTTTCTACATTTTATGTAAGGATGGCACGCAAGCAAATGCCAGGGAAATTTTTTAATTTTATTTGAAACACGTATAAAAAACTTTAAAACACCTGCACTTTCGGATTCTGCTTTTTATTTAGTTTAAATGCATATTCCTTTCCCGATCCCATGAGTTCTTTTCAAAATGTTCAGACAAAAACTGTAAGACCTGTGTTGTTTTGATAACTAACTATACTTTTACCAGCAATCTTACTTGACAGAGCTTCTATACCAAAACTTGGAAAAATCTGAACTGCAAATCTTCTAATGTTATCTACGGAATAGAATGTACCCTTTGTGGGCTTATTTACGTTGGTAAAACCAAGGTTTCACCTAATAAAAGAATATTGGGGCATAGATTTCAAATTAACAACGGGGTCCAGCAGCTTCTATACAACCACTTTAATTTACCCAATCTTTCTGTTTTGTCAATGAAAGTTAGAATTCTAGATAAGATTAACCACCATACTACTAGCCCACCATTGAGCAGACCTTTCCTTAGACAACGAGAAGAATACTGGATTAGAAAACTCGGCACGGCCTTTCCATATGGTAGCAATGACAATATCGATAGTGTTGGGAATCTTTGAAGTCCACATAAAAATAGTACAGCGTAGCAATGTGAATGTGATGGGATTTATAACAATACACAGAGACGAAAGCGTAGCCACGGACATCGGTCTTACAATAAACCTATTATACACGATGTCTCCTTTGATTCACTACTACATTGTAGCTTATGTAAATAAAAATTAGGTTTTCAAAGTTGAAACTTTACTCTATATTGCAAATCACAGGCTTTTTAAACCGCCACGTTTTACGGAAGAAAATACGGCTCAAACAACCCGTTTGTTCCTTAAACTTCAATACATGTATGCCAACAAAGGAATTGACGCAGAAATCAAAATGAATTTGAATAACCATTCCTATACTGGATTCCTAAACTTCACAAAAATCAAAAATACATAGCGGGTTCCAGTAAATGCACTACCAAGCCTCTTTCTTTACTCCTCTTTGAAATATCAACAGCAGTAAGGAGAAAATTCAGGAGTACTGCACAATCTAATTAAAATTAGATGTGAGAAGCGGTAGCGGATTCGGAACATCTAATTTTAATTAGATTGGAGTACTGTACAACAATATATCCGAGAAGTGGTATAAATCAGATGTGTATACTTAAAAACTCAAAGGAACTTTAGAAATTACAAGATTTACCAAAATCACAGCATCAAATTCAACACTGTATACAACCATTCCCCACGATAAATTAAAGTCCAGGCTTTTATGACATCATAGACATTGTCATTAGTCATTTGCCAAATTATTTTGATAAAAACATTCTAATTAAACACACAGATACTCTGAAGTAGATTTTAAAAAGATGCTTGAGTTTCTGATTGACAAGATCTATGAAGTTCTTGGATATTAGGTCTTCCAACAATCTATCGGAATTCTCATGAGTGCTAATTGCGCCCGATTATTAGTAGACCTATTTTTGAAATCAAATGAAGCAGAATTTATTCAAAAACTTAAACATGAAAAGAAGAAGACACTTGCTGTGGCCTTCAACTCGACATTTAGATATATCAACGACGTATTTTCAATTATAACAATAGTTACTTCCATTCATATGTCGACTCGATATATCCAAGTGAACTTGAAATACAGATACCACAGAGTATGACACATCTGTTTTATTTTTGGATATTTTACTAGAAAAATGCGTGGATGGTAACCTAACAACAAAACTTGATGATTAACGTGATGACTTCAACTTTTCAATCGTCATCTTCCCTTACTTATGATATCACCTGCATATGGGTTTTATATTTCCTATTTGATTCGATTTAAGCATGAGCATGCCCAACGTACAAACAATTTCTAAAACGAGGCAAGTTATTGACAAATAAGTTGATTAAACAAGGATATCAACAGTCTTGTTTAAAGCCATCATTTTAATTTGCAAGTTCTTTGACCTTGTCAGCAAATACAATCTATCATTAAGTCGAATGCTGACTGACGTTTTTCATACTAATTGTTAGGGCCTTATTTAGGCACTGAATTTTCTACGGATTTTTCCGTTTGCCCTATCATGACAACGGCGGATGTGACCGGTCGACAAGGAATGCTTGCTCCTCCATGGCATCTGATCCCACCTCTGATGTTTTTAGAGGTCCATATTTGCTCTGCTCCCGATTTGTATTGTTTTAATGGACTTCTGGGTTTGATTACTGTTCCTTATCTCCATATTTCATGAAGATGCTTCTTTAAAAAGCCTTCCAAGATACACTCACTTTATAAAAATGGCTGCTGCACATTAGTACATATTGCCTCAAAGGGATAATAGGTTCACCTTCAGATTCTGCCTTTTATTAGTCCCCTACCGGTGAAACCGGAGGGGACTATAGGTTTCCTCTGAGTCCGTCCGTCCGTCTGTCCGTCTGTCCCTCTGTCTGTCTGTCAGTCTGTCCCACGTGGTTTTCCGCACTTTTTTTTCTAAACGCTTGCAGATATTGAGCTGATTTTTGGTATGTGAGTGTATCTTGATGAGTTACAGATTAAGTTTTCATTTCGTTCCGCTTCAATGATTTTTGACGGAATTACGACCTTTTCAATTTTTCAGGGTTTTTCGCAATTTTTTTCTAAACGCTTGCAGATATTGAGCTGATTTTTGGTATGTTACTTTACCTTGATGAGAATAGACCAAGTTTTCATTTCGTTCCGCTTCGTTGATTTTTGACGGAATTATGGCAATTTCAATTTTTAACGGTAAAACAGATTACACTTGCCAGTAGGGGGCTTGTATTGCTAATGCAATACTTTCAGAAAGCTTGTTTCATATACACAGGTTGATTTAAAAAAAAAAAAAAGCCTTGAATTTCACGACACTCATTTGATTTTAAAGGACGGCTGTTCATTACTGAACAGTTCTTTGTATGTTGTTCACCGTAAAGAAGTTTCTCCTTCACTGCTGCTAATATTTTCATGAGGAGTAATAAAGAAGTTTGACAAAATATTTACTAACATCATCTATTAATCTTTGTAAGGATGAATTTTGTTTCACTTTTTCGATATCTAGGCACAGAAGATTTTTTTTTTCAATTAAAAAGTTCGGACACAATATAAGTACATATTTTATGAAAGAGGACAAAATGAACAAAATTTGATCATTTTGACTATATAAAATTGACAAACCTGCTCCAAAACAAAATTCATTGATATCATCATTCTTCACATTATACCAAATGACTGAGTTCGAGCAGATCTGCGCTTGATGACTTTTGATCAAAATATCGACCTAAAACACCTTTTTCTCCAACAATCATTAAAGTTTAAATTTACGTAATTTCTTCATATTTAACATATCGTGTCATGGTTGATGAAAATATTTTATGTTTTGTTTGTTTGTTTGTTTGTTGTTTAACGTCCCTCTCGAAAATTTTCAATCATATGGAGACGCCACCACTTGCCGGTGTAGGACTACAAATTTTGACCTATACTCGGCACTCAGGGCCATTGAACAGTGAGAGATCTTTTTCGTGCCAGCACCTACTGCGACACGGGACCTCGGTTTATACGGTCTCATCCGAAGGACCGGTCTCCACGTCCCCCAGTGGGATTCGAACCCGCGACGTAAGGATCAACTCCTTACTTCGCGACTCTAGAGCGAACGCTCTAACAACTGCGCCACGCGGGCGACTTTCATGTTTTGAAGTCTGCAGATATTCTCATGAATTATGTATACTCATAGATATCTCCAATAAAGTTTGATTTTCGAGGCAAATACGTGTATTGGTAACTACAGAATAAAGTCCTTTCAAATATAACTTTTACGTGGATACACTTTGATATAGATCTGCAAACCTTAATGTATTTGGCTTTCTGTTGTGACATACAATTAATAAACAATAAATTGACATGAAGAAAAGACCTATTTCTTTCGTGGAAATGTCTTAACGTGCATAACAACTAAATAAGTTCTAAACATGATCATTACTGATTGTTTTTTTTTTTCAGATTTAAGAACAAATCATGAGCTTTTTGCATGTTTAACATTTGTTGCTACATGAAAAGTGTGATTTACATCACTCGCCTTGGTCGGCAAAGAGGAAAAGTAAGACGAGATTTCATTTAAGTTCACCTCGACGAAATCGAGATGAGCTTATGCTATACCCCCGGCGTCGGCGTAACGATTTAAGTTTTAATGGCAAGTCCATTCCCAAGTGACTATAAGCCCCATCTGGGCCAAACTTGCATGGATGATGCGTCTAGGGATACCAGACCTGTATCAGATGTTGGATTTGACCATTTTCTAGATGATTGATCAGATTAAAGTTTTTGGGC